GGTGGTGCCCCCCCAGCTCCCTCTGCTGGGGGGTCCAGACCTTCTCTCCCCTCTAGTCTCCCCGACTTTGACAGGTAGCAGGGTCCCCGGGGCCTTCTCACCCCGCATGAGTGCCTGTTGGCTGCCCTTCACCACCACCCAGGGCAGTGACTCGGGGAGCCGTTTCCGGAGCTGCAGACGGCCTTAAGCTGCCCCTAACTCCAGTCCTCCTCAGCTCAGCCAGTGTTTGTCCTCTGACCCCTTCCCTGCAGCCTCCCGGCCCTCTCGGCTCCACCCCTCCTTGCCCAGGCAACACTGAGCCTGCATGAACCCCCCCATCCCTGTGCCCCCCCCCGCACACAGTAGCCGGGGTCACCTTGCTTCCCAGCCCCGCCTGTCACCCGCAGGACCCCTCCCAGGCTCCCGAGCCTTCCCTGGCCCCCAGAGTCTGGGTCACAGCCCCAGCCCACGCCTCCAGTGCCGGCTCCCACCATCGTCCTATCCGCTCCAGCCCCCAGGGTCTCCTCCCGGCTCCGGGTCTTGGCATGCGCCCAGCCGTTGCTGAAACCCCCCTCGGCCACCCCCAGAGCCGCAGGGAGCCCCAGGCCAGCTGACCCTTCTCTGTCCGGGCCACAGCTGGGTCCCTGCGCCACACCTGTCAGGTGTCAGCACAGCTTCTCGTCCCCTCTCGTGCCCGCATTGGCAGCAGATGGGAGCAGGGCCTGGCCCCTGCTGTAGGTGCTGTGACATGATGGGCCGCCGGTGGAGGGGTCCTCCTTTCTGCACCCCTGCAGCAGCGGGAGGCTCACTTCCCATCCAGGGGTCCCCTTCACCCCCCACTCTGGCCTCCACTTGCAGGCAGGGCTGTCCTGTGGGTGTTCTGTCTCTGGGGGCGGGGCCCGCAGACCTGGGATTTGTCACCTCAGCCTCAGCTGCGAACCGACAGGGCCCGGCGTGGGGGCGTGCACCGCTGAGTGCCGGGCCACTCCCACCGTGGCCGTTACTGGCCGGCTCCACTGGTCAACCGGCTTGTGGTGGTGTCTCTTGGTGGCCTCTTTTTTAGAGCTTGCTTTGGCGTTTGGGTTCAAGTCAGCTTCCCAGGCTGCTCACGCTTGGCATTCAGCGGTGGGACTGATCAGGCGCAAGGCCTTGGCCCACCTCTCCCAGCCCCTCTGCCCCTGCAGGCTGTGCTGAGGCGGATGGTGGCCAAGCGCCTCCACCGTGGTGGGCAGCTGGGCGGGGCCGGGGCAGCCCATCCGGAGAGGAATGTGGGACCCAGAGGCTACCCAGCGGCCGCTCTGCCCATCGTGCGGTGTCTTCCTGCCCAGGCCTCTTCCCTTCCCAGTCACCTCTGTGCCAGGCCCAGGGGCTTTACAGGACGGCCCTGCCTGACTTCTGCTGCCTCGGAGGGGCACAGGCTTCTAAGGTGGTCTGCAGGCTTTGCCTCCCACTCAGGCAAATCCTGAATGGGGAGGGTGTAGGTCAGGGAGGGCTTCCTGGAGGAGGATGGAGGTAAGCTCAGAGTGAAGCTGGGGCCAGGAGTAGGGGCTGGGAGGAGCCCCATCTTTAGGAGGTGGTGCGTGCAGAGTGGGCACAAGGACAGCGGGTGGGGGGCCAGCGCCCCAAGGGGGACAGCTGCTGAGCCTGTGACCGGGAAGAATGCAGGGACAGTGAGGCTGAGTGACTCAGATGGTCCTCAGAGACCTGGGATCCCTGCAACTGGACGGGGAGGGGAGGCGCTGGAGGGGAGTGGGCACCTCCCCAGGGCTTGTTTGGAGGGACAGGCCCCTTGTCCAGGTAGGGTCAGGGGTTCAAGCCTTCAAGTCCTGTGTTTGGCCTTCTTTTCTTGTAAGTTTTTATTGTGATTTGGGTGCGAGTTTACAGACCAAATAGCTTTTCCGTGAAACAGTTCACACGTTTTGATTTCGGTGCTGATTGCAGTCCCCACAAGGCCACAGCCTGTTCCCACTTCCTCCCTGGGGTCAGGAGAGAAGGTCCATTCCCGCGGCGGGGGCGGTGTCCTCACGGCAGGACCGGACGCTCTGGGAGTCACGGAGTGTAGCCCCTGCCCAGCGCCAGGCCTGTGCAGGGGGTGCCAGCTGGCCTCGGCGTCTGGCTGCTGGGGGCTGGGGGGTCCCCGCTCTGCCACTTGCCCTGACGAGTCCCACACATCTGTACTCTCCACACCCTGCAGAGCGGGGTAGAGGGCCGCCCTCCTTCTGGGGCCCCGGCAGCCACGGAGCCGGGGACCAGCAGGCGGGCGGACAGACCTGCGTGCTCATGGGAACGGTGGACGTTGTTGGCATGCGCTAAGCTTCAGGGAGGGAAGGCGAGGCCCCGAGTCTCTGGGGGTGCGGGGGCTGCCTCGCACCGGGCCCTGCCCGGGGAGTGCCCAGCTGGGGAGCCCGGAGGGGCCAGCTGGCCAGGCCCAGTGCGGCCCAGAGGGCATCCTGTAACGGCAAGCTGAGGGCCGAGCGCCCTGGCTCTGTGTGTTTCAGACCCTGCCTGGCCTGGGGCCTGTGAGGTGCCCTGTGTGTCCCCTGTAGAGTGGCACGCTCGTGGCCAGGCCCTCTTCCCGCTGCGGGGGTTACCTGGTGGCTTGGCCAGGCTTGGAAAGCGACCGTGGAGGAGCTAGGCCAGCCCTGAGCCCCGCAGGCCAGACCGGGGTCTCCTGGGCCAAGTCCCAGCTGGGGTCAGTGGCCTGGGTGTGCGGCCGGGCAGGTCTCCCCGTGTCCACCAGGATAGCAGCTCCCGGCACCCGCTGTGAGGGGGAAAGTGACGGGCCAGGGGCTCCTGGGTGTGGCCCTGGAGGGGCGGCAGCCTGCCCCTGCCCTGGGCAGAGGGTTGCAGATGGCAGCATCCACTCCCTGGGAGCCACAGGGGTCACTTGGGGACAGGCACATTCTCAGGAGAAACACACAGGGGACCGTCTGGGAACTCAGGGAGCCTGGCAGGGAGCGGGCCCCCAGCGGCTTCAAGGCTGCCTGGGGGTGGGGGCCTGGACCCAGTCTGTTCCAAGAGAATAACCCCTCCCTCCTCTCCCCTCCCCCCCCTCCCCCTCCCTCCTCCCTCCCTCCCTTACTCCCCGCTCTCTGCTGTGGCTCAGGGGCTCTCCGGCCACCTGCCAGTTGGAGGAAGAAGCTTTAGCAGTGGTACAAGATGTCCTGGGACCTGGGAAGGGGAGGAGCCTGGCTCACTCGGGGGACAGGAGACTCCGTACAGGGATGAGGCTGCAGGTGGCAGGGGACTCAGAAGCTGCCATCGGCCTGCAGGCCATCAGCCTCGTTTGCTTTATGGGCAGATGGGCACCACCTGGGCCCCGTGGGCATCACGTTGCCCTCCCGTCCCCAGCTAACCACTGGGGCAGAGGGGGCTGCTGATGGCAGGCGACGGCCACTCGGAGGAGGGGCTGCTGTGACCTCTGTGACGGCGTCTCCTGAGTGTGCAGTGCGCAGCCTGTGCCGCTGGACTGGGTGGCCCTGCAGGGTGTCTGAGCCAGGCATGGGCCACTCCGTGCCTCGGTTTCCCCAGCTGTTCATGGCAGCCGTGACTGTCCGGAGCTGGACAGGGTGTGTCCTCTCGGGGTAGGCCGCTGCCCTTAGCCCCCCAAGCCTAGCCCACAGGACTGCTGGGAGTGGAGCCCCAAGGCCTGGCTCTGCCCCACACGCTCCTTCCCGCCCCGGCACCTCTGCATACCCCGCTTTGCTCGGAGTCAGCCTTGGGACCAGGGCTCACTTCTGAATTACAAACAAGAGGAATGCTAACAGCTGAGCTTGCTTGAGACAAAGTTGACTTCAGAACTTTGGCTGCAGGATGGGGTGGGGGTGGGGTTGTCACAAACCCCCAAATAAACAAGACTCTGCTTCCCAGCCTGGGGGCCATGTTCTCATGTGGAGGAGCCGCCCCCCTTGACTCATCCTGAGTCATCTCCTGTTGGGGGAGGACAGGGAGCGGCCGCCCACCACCCACCGAGAGCCTTAAAGCCACAGGGCTGAGCTCTGCCTCAGAGACACGCCTGGGGCCCACTGTGTGACCTCGTCGTCTGGGCTGCAGGATGGGTCAAGAAGGCTGCCACTGTGAGGCCGCCCGGGGGGACCTGGTCAGGAGGCTGGGCAGGGCGGGACTGGGCTTGGTGGGGCTGCTGGGATCTGCAGGCTCAGTCACCCACTCACTCATTCGTTCATTCACCCACTCACTCGTTCATTCATTCACCCACTCACTCGTTCGTTCACTCATTCACTCACCCACTCGTTCACTCACTCACTCGCTCATTCACCCACTCACACGTTCATTCAATCATTTGTTCATTCACCCACTCATTTGGTCATTCATTCATTCATTCATCCATTCATTCACTCATTCACCCACTCAGTCAGTCACTCACCCACTTACTCATTCACTCACCCACTCACTTGTTCACTCACTCACTCGTTCATTCACCCACTCACACGTTCATTCAATCATTTGTTCATTCACCCACTCATTCATTCACTCACTCATTTGCTCATTCACTTGTTCATTCACCCATTCATTCACTCATTCACCCACTCACTCTATTCATTCACTCACTCACCCACTCACTCATTCACTTATTTACTCACTCACTCACCCACCCACACACTCACTCATTCATTCACTCACCCACCCACCCACATGTTCATTCAATCATTTGTTCATTCACTCACCCACTCATTCATTCACTCACTCACTCATTCACTCACTGTTTCACTCACTCATTCACCCACTCACTCATTCAGTCATTCACTCACACACCCACTCACTCATTCACTCACTCATTCGTTCATTCACCCACTCACTCGTTCATTCACTCACTCACCAATTCACTCACCCACTCATTCATTCACTCACTCATTTGTTCATTCACCCACTCATTCATTCACTCACTCGTTTATTCAGTCACTCATTCACCCACTCATTCATTCACTCATTCATTCACTCAGTCACTCACCTACTCACTCATTCACCCATTCACTCATTCACTCACCCACTCACTCACTCACCCACTTGCTTGTGCATTCACTCACTCATCCATTCACTCACTCAGCAGATGTTGGAGGCTGTGTGGGCCCCACCCTGGCTGGTGACTGCTGGTTCGTGGGGTGAACCAGCCACCTCCCTGTCCAGGAGCGGGCAGTATGTGAGGCAAGCCACATGAGGCATTCTGGGTTCTGACTCCCGGCCCCCCGAGGGCCCTACCCTCACAGCCCTGCCTTTAGCTGTTCCTCTATTGTCAGCCTTCCGCCCCTTTGTTACTTTCAGTGCTGTCTGCATGTGACTTGCTCCTAGTGAAAGATTTGTACATTCCAGCAGTGATTAGATGAGCAGGACCCCACCCCACTCCTACTAACCTCAGGTCCCCTTATTTCCTGCCCAGCCCTCCCAGTGGGCATTTGACAGAGGGTTGTATTTTGTCATCATGAGTAAATCAGCGTCACGTATTTTAAGTGACTCTGGAGAGACCACATTTGAAAGGAATGTGTTCCAAGCTGTGGGTTTAAACTCCAGCAAGCGCTGAGCAGCCAAGGGTGGGACGGGCCAGCGCATCTGCTCCAAACCAGGAAACTCACCCAGGACCATGAAGTCATTCACCCTGTGACCCTGCTGGACAGAGAGGAACTGCCCCGGGGTCTCCAAGGCTGTCAGTCTTCATGGACCAAGCCAAAAAACCAACCTCACTGCTGTGGAGTCAGTCCCGACTCATAGTGACCCCGCCTTGGGTTTCCGAGGCAGTATCACTACAGAAGTAGATTGCCCAACCTTCCTTCCAAGGAGT